GATTTTTTTTTCTAGGCCAACCAACTTTCCCCTACAATTCATATGCAAAATAGTACGAAAGTTCAAAAAGCTACAACATATACAATCCTATGATCATCAAAGCATAATAAAAAAAATATAAATACAAACTAAATTAGTATATAAACAATAACATATGATCAAATCCAGCAACATTACATTAAATAAACAAAAAAAAAAAAGACAGTATGATTTTCGGTACAAATGGCACTTACAAGCTTGGGGGCTTCAGGTGCACGAGGCTCTTTTATCTTAGGACAACCTCTCATGTTGTGCCCGTAATCAAAGCAGTGTTGGCATCGGATCTAAATACCATGCTTACCTATCTTACCAGAGTTGGATTTTTTAGGTTCTTCATCAGCTAACTTCATCCTTGCAGTTTTCCTTCTACCTAGTTTTTTCTTCTACTCTGGTGGAATGATGGATGACTCTGATACCAATTGATGCAGAACCCCAGGTTTATATTCAAACCAAAACCTAACACACAAATCAAAATTGAACATACACCAAGAATAAATCCCCAACCTATGGAACCCCTAAACAATAATGTATGAAAACGCCAATAATAAGTTGATTTAAAACAATAAGAACAGCAATCCCACAAGTATGCCCTTTATGAAAGCAGTTCTTAATGCAAAAGCAAGAGCAAAACTCATGAACTCACTTTGGAAGAAATTGGCCAAGCCAAGAGACTAGTCTCAGTCTGATTAATTATCAATGATCTACTTTACAATGAAAATAAGAAGGCTTTACATAGCCTCGGACAACCCCTTAGATTTCCAAGTTAAAAGGAAACTAATAACCAATGGAAACAAACCCTAAACCTAATAAGAAAAAGCAAAACATGTTTTTTACTTAAGCCCATTATAAGGAAATCCCAAAAACATTAAATTAACCCATTCTAGGCCAAAAAGAAGTCCTAAACATTTAACCCAAGCTAATGGCTGCCCAATTACATAAGTTAAGTCTAATTATTTATTATAAAGCTAATTAGACATGGATTATGGCCCATTTGTGAATTAGGTCCAAATCTACCTGAAATGTCTTCTTTAGTTTTCAATGAAGAATGATGAATCAATCTCCTCTACAAATCTGTCCATGAATGCTTAAATAGCTTCCTTGAGCTTCTTTGATCTTGCTTGAGCGATTGGTCCTTGAGGAAGTGTCAATTCATCCTTCTTCTTGTCTGGTTCAGATTGAGATGCCTTGATCATGCTCATATCATTCCCTCCCCCTTTGAAAGGATTCATCCTCCAATCTGAATCAAAGACAAAAGGAGACAAGTCAGCAACATTAAAAGTGGCACTAACACTGTACTCACCTGGCAAGTCAATTTTGTATGCATTATTATTAATCCTTTCCAAAACTTGGAATGGTCCATCTCCCTTTGCATCAAGCTTAGACTTCCTCTTTGCAGAAATCTTTCTTTCTTCAAGTGAATCCAAACCCAATCTCCAAGTTCAAAGATCATTTCTTTTCGGCCTTTATTTGCTCCTTATGCATACAACCTATTCTTTTGCTCAATCTGCTTGCATGCTTTATGGTGAATAGCTTTAACATTTTCCGCCTTCGCCTCGCCATCTAAGATAGTAAGCTCATTCAATGGTAAAGGCAACAAATCCAACACGATTAAAGGATTAAAACCATAAACAATCTAAAAAGGTGAATAACCTGTAGAAGAGTGTACTGCCCTATTATATGCAAACTCAACAAATGGCAAACAATCTTCCCAAGTTTTCAAATTTGTACCAACAATAGCACGCAACATAGTTCCTAAAGTCCTATTAACCACTTAAATTTGTACCAACAATAGCACGCAACATAGTTCCTAAAGTCCTATTAACCACTTCAGTTTGGCCATCTGTTTGTACCCAATTTTTCATGTAAAAAATAAAAGTTTAGCACCCAATTTTTCCCACAGAACACGCAAAAAATGACTTAGAAACTTAGCATCACGATTAGAAACAATGGTTCTAGGTACACCATGCAAACGTACAACATTACCAAAGAACAAGTTAGCAATATTTGTTGCATCATCAGTTTTATGGCATGCAATGAAATGAGTCATTTTACTAAATCTGTCCACTACAACAAAAATGTTATCTATTGCTATCCTTGTCCTAGGCAATCCCAACATAAAATCCATGGAAATATGAGTCCAAGGTTCAGTAGGCATAGGCAAAGGTGCATACAAATCATGAGGCATAGTTTTAGATTTTGCATGCTTATAATCAATACATGCAGAACAAAATTTTTCAATAAGTTTTCGCATGTTAGGCTAATAAAAGTGTACATGCAGCATGTCCAAAGTCCTTTGCACACCAAAATGCCACATTAAACCCCTGCTAACCCCTACTATGTGATTCCCTAACAAGCAGCTCACGAATAGAACATATTGAAATACAAAGTTGTTTACCCTTAAAAAGATATTCATCATATGCCTATAAAACTTATTAAAAGCTTCTTTTTCACATGCTCTATACACCTTACCAAAATCAGCATCATCAACATACATATCCTTTAAATGCTCAAAACCAAGTAATTTAGAACTAAGCAATGAAATTATTGCATATCTCCTAGAAAGTGCATCAGCAACCACATTTTCTTTTCCTTGGTTTTATTTAATCACATATGGAAAAAGTTCTAAATATTCCATCTACTTACCATGTCTTTTGTTCAACTTAACTTGTCCTTTCAAGTACCTAAGTGATTGATGATCACTATGAATCACGAACTCTTATGGCAACAAGTAATGTTCTAACCTCAAGAGCTCTTAACAAGGCATAAATCTCCTTATCATAAGTGGAGTAGTTCAGGTTTCCTTTGCTCATCTTCTCATTGAAGTATGCTGTGGGATGTCCTTCCTGCATCAAAACAGCACCAATACCTATCCCGAGAGCATCACACAGTCTACCTTTTACCACTCTTGTTTTGTTTCTCACGATTGCACTTCGTTTCTCACGATTGCACTTCAGAACTAGCCTTGACACAAAGCAACACACCAAATCAATTGACAAGAAATAATGATATCCTAACAAGAAGAAAAGTTCGAAGTCTAGAGCAAAGGGAGGCAAAGGACCAAGATGAATAAAAAAAATAGAAAATAGCACACTAGAAGTAGAAAATGAGTACTATAGATCAATTTTAAGTTCAACAAGGTACAAAATGTTGAATTTAGTGTAAAGAAACCAAAAATAGAGAGACACTTCGAAATCAAATAACTGAGAGGAAAATAAAGCAATGACAAGACGGATGCACTAAAATGCAAAGTTTAATCAAATCCTAATGATAAGACTAAACTGATGTTATGTATGACACGAAAGAACAATTCAATGGAAGTAATAAGGAAAATTAACCCAAACAGCCTAGAAATCAACTTAGGCGTATTTATGTGTAGTGTAAGCCCAATTTGTGTTAAAAAGCCCCAAGAGTATCCCTGAAGGTAATTCAACCTATACTAAGTCAAATAGATTTCAGCCCACTTAATTTAGCAAATAACACAACTAAACAGCCCTTAAACAATGGTTTTTTTCCCTTTATAGTACAGGGTTCTTGCAAAAGCTTCATATGCAACTTTCTTTGCACTTTTTCTGAATTTTTTTATTTTGTTTACATAATAATCACGAAATCATAAGCTAAAGAACATGAATTGAACAATCCAATTCAAATTTGGACAGAAACCCAATTCATCCAATAAGAATAAAGCAATTAAAAGGACTGAAATTAATAAAATGAAATTAAGAACAAGATAAATAAGAAGTTACCTTAGTCTATGCTCTAATACTAATTGATGTAGAACCCCAGGTTTATAGTCAAACCAAAACCCCAACACACAAATCAAAATTGAACAAACCCCAGGTTTATAGTCAAACCAAAACCCCAACACACAAATCAAAATTGAACATACACCAATAATAAATCCCCAACCTATGGAACCCCTAAACAATAATGTATGGAAACGCCAATAATAAGTTGATTTAAAACAATAAGAATAACAATCGCACAAGTATGTCCTTTATGAAAGCAGTTCTTAATGCAAAAGCAAAAACAAAACTCATGAACTCACTTTGGAAGAAATTGGCCAAGCCAAGAGACTACTCTCAATCTGATTAATTATCAATGATCTACTTTACAACGAGAATAAGAAGGCTTTATATAGCCTTGGAAAGCCCCTTAGATTTTCCAAGCTAAAAGGAAACTAATAACCAATGGAAACAAACCCTAAACCTAATAAGAAAAAGCAAAACATGTTTTTTACTAAAGCCCATTATAAAGAAAGCCCAAAAACATTAAATTAACCCATTCTAGCCCAAAAAGAAGTCCTAAACATTTAACCCAAACTAATGGCTACCCAATTATATAAGTTGACTCTAATTATTTATTACAAAGCTAAGTAGACATGGATCATGACCCATTTGTGAATTAGGCCCAAATATGCCTGAAATGTCTTCTTTAGCTTTCAATAAAGAATGGACTATCTCCTCTACAAATCTGTCTATAAATGCTTGAATAGCTTCCTTGAGCTTCTTTCTTTCAATAAAGAATGGACTATCTCCTCTACAAATCTGTCTATAAATGCTTGAATAGCTTCCTTGAGCTTCTTTGATCTTTCTCTCGAGTGATTGGTCTTTGAGGAAGTGTCAATTCAATCCTTCTTGGTTCAGATTGTGATGCCTTGATCATGCTCATATCATTAGGCTATATGTCTTCTCCATTCAAAGGGACAAGACCATGTTTGTATGTCTTAGAGTAATAGTCTTTCTTTAACTAATCATCCACATAATCCAACACATCATATCTTATATAGAGAATGCATAAAATGGCATGACTGCAAGGGACTCTAGAGAGTTGCCATGATCTATAAGAGCAATTCCTTTGAGAGAGGGATACCACAAAGGAATTTCCACCATCTTTGACTTGGAAGCTATCACCATCAAAAGGACTTGGCAAACATTGTGAAGTGAACATTTTGTTACTTTCTATTTTTTTTGCCTTATTCTTCCTCCAACCCCATCTTTCCATTGCTTCACTTGTGTCTCCTTGAAATAGTTTTCTTATCATTAAGGATGTCCTTATTTTTTCAAACATCATGATCAAATGCATAGTTCTTGCTTTAGGATGTATCCATTGAAGGTCTCTGCAATGTTGTTTGTAACATCATCCACTTTAGAAAAAGTGGATAAAAATGCTCTACAAAACTTGGTTTTATCTCTCTTTAACAAATTGTCAACTGCTTCTGCATCAAGCTCCTTCAATTCTGAGTTTCTTATCAAATTCAGCCTCCTAAGCAAAATACACAATTGCCCAAAAACATTGCTTGTACCCTTCTCTTCTATGCATTTTCTTCCAATTGGCATGAATGTGGACTGCATAGTTCCTATGCATAGCATAAGGAACAAGCTCTTTAATGGCATTCTCTAGTCCCTTGTCAAATAAAGGAGAACACAATCTTAAGTAAAAAGAACATAAAATTTGAATAAATGAACTAATGTTAGAGAATTTTACCTTCTGTTAGTCACTCACAATGGTGAGTCTAACACCGTATGCAACGCTTAGGTCCTCAAATAGCAAATTCAGAAACCAAGTCCAACTATACTCCTTCACTCTTTCCACAACAGCCCATGCAGCTGGATCCATTTGATTATTGGCATCTTTGCTAATTACACTAACTAACTGTCCTCCAAGCATTGTTTTTAAAAAAACAACCATCAATGAATATACATGGTCTACAACCCTCTTTGTGGCCTTTTCTCAAAGCCAAGAATCCAATGTACAACCTTTGAAACACATTTGGGCCCCTACTTCCATTCTCTTCACGTTGCAAAATAAATGTCCCCTCCTTGTCAACTCTTCTTAGTTATGCTATGTAAGACCTCAATTTCCCCTAGTGTGCCTCTTAGAGACCCTGTTAGCTTTGCCATAGCTTTAGCCCTCGCTCTGTAACACAGTTGCCTATTAACTATAACAACATACTTTTCATTCATGCTCGCTATCATCTTATCCATACCATAAGAAGGATCTCTTCTTATTTATCTTAAGAATTCTCTTGCAAGAAAGTCATAATTTTTTTGTCGATTTGTCAGTGACCTAAAACACTTGTGTTCTTCTTGATACGTCATAATTACCCATGACTTGTCCTTTCCTCGGGTTCTTGTATATAGTCTCCAAGGACAAGATCCAAAGCATTTATAATCAACCTTAGTAGCCTCACTTTTCCTCCATTTGACATTGAATTGATTAAGTAAAGCAAACTTTTTTACACCCGTAATTAGTTGCTCCTTAGAAGCAAAAACCATGCCAATAGGAAACTGAAGCTTTTTGTGTTCGCATGAAAGATCATAGACATTTTAGATGGCTTTTTTTTTTCTTCTTAACATGCATTTCTCCTTCATCGCTGCTATTTGTACTTGAGAACTCTTCATCAGATTGCTCATAGTCGCTCTTATTTTTGACACATTTATATCATATGCTATGAGATCATTCACAATTTCAGGCTCTTCTTGTGATTTAGGCAATTCACTGTTAGCAACCTCTTCATTCTCAGCAACAAAAGCCACTTCTAAGCCTAACCCAACTCCATTATCAATTACTATTTTTGTTAATTCAACATGTTCTCCCTAGCCTTCACAGCCTCTGTCATCTTTATCCTCATCTAGTATTGAAGAAACATCAATGTCTAAATCACTTTCTTCCTCTTCAATATCAATATCTACTTCAACACAGCCATCAACATTTTTAGTCTCAGCATCATTCTCATCTTCACTTACTATCAATCCCTCCCTCTCCATGGCTTGAAAAATCAAGTCAACGTCATCCACATCATCATGATTAAGCTCAAATGAAATTTTTTCATCATTAAGCTCACTAATGTATGCTCTATCCAACTATTTTCCACTAACTTCATGTTGGTCTCAATGTATACCTTCAAAAAAATTGCAATCCTTTCCCTCTTCTAGCATTGCAACTACGTCTTCATCTGTCCTAGCCAAAGTCAAGCATCTCCAATCACCCTTTGGTTTGAAATAACATATTCTATGCACCTCACCATAGCCAAAAGCTCTAACCATATTCACCGTTTCTTCATACTTCATATCTATCCCTATTTGGGTAACCCATTCTTCTAAAGCCCATCCACCAACATATTTTAATATCTTCCCCTCCTTACTCATGACACCACCAGCCCATGTCTCGATGGGGAACCTATTAAATACATTCAATGATAACCAAAATCACAACTAACACACACACACACACACACACACACACAGATATATATATATATATATATATTAAACACATTTCATACTTGCTGAATTTTTGACTACCAACTAATTTTTAATGATATCAGTATTGTGTAGATAGGATATTTAAGAGAGAAAAAATAAAAAGTATTCTCTTTACACATAAGATTCCATGCTAATATTAAACTTTTATCCTATAGTGCATAATAAATAAAATAAAAATACTTTATCAATTTTTTACTCAGCACATTCATCCAGCCTATACCATTTCCAAAAGCATATATAAACCCCCCCCCCCCATATATAAACCCCCCCCCCCTCTTTAATGCGTTCAAAGCACCCCCCCCCCCCTCTAATGCGTTCAAAGCATATATAAAAAAATTAAAAAGCGATTAAATGCTTACCAGTTTCTCTCCTTTTGAAAACCCCTAGCCATTTTCATGTCACGACTCATGCACTGACTTCTTTTCTGAAAACTCTAAGTCAATGTCAACAGTTGAACAAAATCTTTAGCAACTGGAATTGCGTAAAAGAAGCAAAGTTATCCCATTCTTGTAATGGAGGAGGGTTCAATTTTGGAAGAGAGTGGCGAGAGCGAGTGGCGAGAGTGAGAGGCGAGAGAGACAGAACAGGGAAAGTGAAAGAGAGGGTTCGATCGTGACGTGCGAGAAGAAAGAGAAGGTTCTGATGTTTATCCTAAACAGTGTGTTTAAGATAGCTAACCTAAGGTGGGTTAGCTAACTAAAGTGGGTCCCACGTTTATTATTTTTTATTATCAATTTTGGCTGGATTTCAAATTAGGGTGCAATTTTTATAAAGTTTGAAATTGGGGTGTCTTGGGGGTTAAGTTGGATTTGGGATGCAATTGTAACAAGTCGCAAAGGCTGGGGTTATAGGTATGGATTAGCCCATCATATATTCAAATTTTCCTGAGCAAAGAAGCTAATATTTTCAAGTGCAAAAAATCCAAAAATATCTTATTGCAACTCAGCTAGAACCTCATATGCATACCAAAACAAAAATTTTCAATCTAACCTCTTCAATCACCATGAAGTATCCTTCTTCTTCTGAACTCAGAACTTTTCCTTCCTTTAGCAAAGTTAAAATGAGAAATGGAAACCATAGAATGATAACAGATTTACAATAATAAAGCAAACATAATGGATGTATGGATACCTTCAATATTTGGAGCATAATTTCAACATCAGGTGATCCACTGAGGAGGTAGCTCATTACATAGAATGGTATACTTGATGAGTTACTATCACACAAAAATTTCAAGTACTTCAAATTCATAAATGGATAAGGCTCCGTTTCGAATAAGTCAGGAAACATGCTGAGAACCTATAGAAATCCAAACCTAGATAATTAGAAAGTAGAGAAACCCCAAGGAATACAAATAAGAAGATAAAAAGTTACACACATTTATAAAACAACGATGCTACCCTATTAATCATTTATTTTTACTAATTGGCTTTTAAAATGATCACAAGATTTCACTTGAGACTATGTTCAGAATGCATATACCTTAATGTTATCAGAATGTAGGCTAACACATTGAGCATTATAGCATCCTCTTAGCATATTAACAACATTCACAACATCCGCCTCCTTCAATCCACTATCCCGTGTGCAGGAAGTTCGCTTAATATGAACATACAAGTGATGAAGACAAGGGAAATGGAGGACAACGAAATCTAGAGGAACGAGTTAAAGGTGAAAGACTTGAGCTTTGGTGCAACAATCTCAAACCTTATTTTACAAAAAAAAAAAAAAAAAAAAAAAAAAAAAAAAAAAAAAAAAAAAAAAAAAAAAAAAAAAAAAAAAAAAAAAAAAAAAAAAAAAAAAAAAAAAAAAAAAAAAAAAAAAAAAAACAAACCAATGCGCTCCAATTTAAAGTTAACAAGTTCTGGTCCAAATATTCTAAAAGTTTTTAGGTCTAAGAAAAAGCAGTATTATATGACTAAGCTCTTCAAATTGGGATAGTTACCAAAAGGATCTAAATCAAAGTATGTAAAGGAGTAGCCATGGATTACCAACGAATTCTACGTAGTAAAACCAAATGATCCAGGCAAAACACCAACCAATTTCAACTCTAGGGTTTTGATTGACACATAATTTAGAAACAAAGGTGTGTTATCGAATGAAAATAAACTCTTTATGCGAAAATGTTCAACACCATGAGATACTGCATAATTGATTACCTCTACGATTAGGGTGTCATCGTAATCCAATTTTTGATGATAACCGAAGCTAAACTTAGAGAGAATAGATTTGTGATCACAGTGAGAAAAGATTCGGTGCACAAAGACTTTAAAACGGAATTGTGGAGTGAAACTTGAGTCGTAATAGAGTGTTGGGTTGAGATTAAGCTCACGAAGGGAAACCCACAAGTATCTCCATCACTTTGATAGTATACAGATTTTGATGGCGTCTCTAATATCCATGAAACAAAGGATGCAACGAAGAATTATATTTGGTAAACTACTCAATCTGTTTATCATTGTGCAATATGTCTCTTATCTCACTAGTGAAGAAATAGGGCTTAGTTTCACCCTTCGTACCTGGACTATACCCCCTATTACATTGGCATACCAATATTTCAATTTGTTATGCAAAATATTAAATCTTTAATTTATGTTCCGATAAAATACAAATGTTAGTCTCGCCATTTGCCTTTGGAGGGAGTGTTGACACGGCGCATTAGAAACATAAAAAGGTGCTTTGTCAATCTTGCCAAGTCATAGATGTAGCATCGCTCTCTATCCCACGCAAAATGTCATTTCTCTCTCTTGCCCCAACATTTCTCTCTCCCGCCCAACATTCTCTTCATTTTTTATCTTTTGAGTTTCAATCTGAATAGTCACTTTCTTTCCTTTCTCTATTTTCTTCTCCAACGACGATAGAGACTCTCTCATCATTTTCTTCCTTTCTCTTTCAAATACTTTAACCTGGACCCGAAATTTGAAGAAGAAGCATGTGTCTGTGAAGAGCGTAGACTAAATCAAAGTTGGAAGACTGATATTAGAATCATTTAAGGGAGAGCAATGGCCCCAAGACCTGACGGTTAGTCCGCTTTCCCTAGTTCTTTAATGCATGTGTTTGTAAAGTTGTGTGTTTGCGGTCCAAATATGGCTTTTATGTGTGTATGTAGTGGGTGTACTTTGTCTTTTCTGGGAAAGTTTATATAAATAAATGGGGTCTTATAATTAAAAATTATGTTAGGTTTAGGGTTTGCACATTAAAATATAATGAAATTGAAGTGGGGTAAAGGATGACATCTTTAGGGGTTTGATTTGGAAGGTACAAACATGTGATAAATTGGTTATTATGCATTAAATTATTCCCTTGTTATAGTTGTAGGGTTGGGGTTTTCTTATTTTACTATAATAAATTTGGGGAAAATATTTTACTTTAGGGCTTAAATGTTATTGTATTAGAAATCATGCAGCTTTTTATTTTAAAGTAATGTTGCATGAGAAGGGCCATTTTTGCTTGACTATGATTATTATTATATTATGCTTTATTATGACTACTGTGTTGCGAAAATGACAAAAGAAGTAATGTTATGTGGAATGTGGGATTTGGATTTGAATGTTGAAAATTATTTGGTTGGCATGCACAGGTTTTGCTGAGTTAGACTGCAACATTATTGTGCATTACGGGGGTGATATGGGGAAATGGGGTTACTTCAATAAGGAAGAGACATCCATAAAAAATTGTAATGAGGACACAATGTCCATTGTTAGGATTGATAAATTCCTGTTAGATCAGGGTTTTCAGGGCATTCTAAGGTATCACGATGTAGTGCCTAGGAAAGATTTTCAAGATGGACTTGTGAGAATAGAAAGGGATAGTGACATATATGAAATGTCACTGTATGGCAGTGATGTTGGGATATTCACCTTTATGTAGAACGTTTAGCCATAGAGGATCTACAAAGGGAACTTAATGTAGATTTATGGAGTAGAACTGGTGTTTTTATAAAAGAAATACCTGAAGATACACCTGTTAGTGTTTCTGACTTTAGCAAAAGCAAGAGAGGGAAGAGAAAACGTAGTAAAACTAAACTAAGGAGGCAAGAGTCAGTGGGAATTAACAAACAAGAACCTGATTTGCCTAATGTAGATTTAAAGGAACTTGTTTTTAGATGAAAACTTTGACTTTGTGAATCCTGATAGTATCACTAGGGGTGGTGATAATTTGCATAATGTAGGTGGGAGGGAATAGAGAAGAGGGGCAGAATGTAGAATTAAATAATAAAGGCTAGAATAAGAGTTTAAACAATGAGGGACAGCCTAAGGCTGGGGATGGGGATCTTAGAGATTAAGAGTATAATGTAGAGGAAGGGGATGAGGACTTCAACAAAGTTTTGAATGATAGGGAGAAGGAGAAAGAGCCAAGGGGTAGACCTATAGGGACTGGGGAAGGAGTTAGACCCTTGAGTAGAGGTAGGTGATGATTCTTCTGAGTATGCTCCTTCAGATGAGCTGCATACAGAATCAGATTCAGAGGATGAGAGTAGAATGAGATTTCCTACCTTTAATGCTAGCAAGGAGATGCAAAACCCAACTTTCAAGGTTGGTATGCTTTTTCAAAATAGGCATGAGTTTAAGGAAGCTTGTAGGATGTATGGGATTAAAAACAGATTTTAGATATGGTTAGGAAGAATTGTCATCAAAAAGTGCAGGCTAAATGTTATAATAAAAATTATGGATGGAAAATATGTGCAAGTATTTTTTATACCAAGTCAAAAACAGACTTGACTTTCCAAATTAGGACAATTAACCTCAATCATTCATGTACCAAAATTCATAGAAACTTTCATGTAACATCAGCTTGGTTGGCAGAAGAGTATCTTGAGGATTTTAGAGTCAATCCTACTTGAGAGTTGAGTCATTTCATAGTTAGGATTAAGCAAGATCTTGGGTACACAATAAGGAGGATTAAGGCTTGGAGGGCTAGAGCAAGAGCCTTGTCAGTCATACATGGTGATGAAAGTACGCAATATAATAGATTGCATGATTACAAGGCAGAGTTGCTTAAGACAAATAGAGGAAGTTCAATTATTTTCAAGATTAAGTTTGGGGTCTTTGAGAGTGTATATGTTTGTTTAGAGCCTTTGAAGCTTGCTTTCAAGGGTCATTTTAGAACACTTGTGTATCTAGATGGGTGTTGGTTGAAGGGTGCCTATGGGGACAATTGTTATCAGTTGTAGAAATCGATCCAAATGATTACATTTTCCCACTAGCATATGTTGTTGTGAAGACTAAGTCTAATGAGACATGGAGCTGGTTCTTAGACTGCCTAAAAGAGGACCTGGAGCTCATTTGACCACCAATTTTCAGTCATGAGTGACAGGCAGAAGGTATGTGCATTTTTTGAGTATTTTTATTAATTGCAAAGCTTTCATTTAATCTGGTATTGACTGTTTCCTTTTCTGTGCTCTAGTTTTTGTGGTTTTTTTTCTTGTTTTTAACATTTGAACAATGTATATTGCATGAACTTTAGGAATTAGTGGGTAGTATAGCTAGAATGTGGCGTGAATTTGAGCATAGATTATGTATGAGGCACCTTTACACTAATTCTAGAGCCCATTTCAAGCGTAAAGAGATGAAAGATCTCCTGTGAAATGCTGCCAAAGCTAGCTATACCTAAAAACAAGAGACTTGCTTATGAGATTGAGAAAAAGAGTAAGGAAGCAAAAGAGTGGTTGAGAGAAAGACCATGTTAGAATTGGCCTAGGGCATGCTTCAAAACAAATGTCCTTTATGATATGTTAACCAATAACCTATGCGAGTCCTTCAATAAGTATATCCTAGATGCAAGAGACCATGACATAATAACAATGCTTGAGATGATTAGGAGGAAGTTAAGGAAGAGACTATATAGGAAGACAGAAGCTATGAAAAAGTTCAAAGGAAGACTAAGTTAAATGAAAATAAAGATTTTAGTCACTTGTTCATACCCACCTTCACTGGAGGACCTAAGGTTTAAGTGGCTGGACCTCAAGGTCAGTATGTAGTTGATATGGATGAGAGATCATGCAGCTGTAGGAGGTGGGATCTCACTGGTATTCCATGCACTCATGCATGTGCCTGCATTCTTGAAAATAATGAAAATCCTGAGATATATGTGCATGAAACCTACTCAAAAGAGACTTACCTAAAAGGATATAGCCATTTCATCAACCCAATCAATGGCCCTAACATGTAGCCTAAGATTGTTGTTGCGAATAATTTGGTTGCACCTGACCCTATTAAGAAAAAAAGGGGAAGGAAGTAAAAGGCCTGGAAAAAGCAAGTAGAGGAGTTGGAAGAGGCTGCAGTAAGGGGGAAACTAAGTAGGAAAGAGTGCATATGAAGTGCTCCATTTGTGGTGTGATAGGTTACAACAGAAAGTTCCATGGTGAACCATCTAATCCAACTCAACCAGCAAGGATAGTACGTTTTTTCGGCATTTATATATTTCTAACCTCAAATCTGAGTTTGTAATCTAATGTTTACACCCGAACCTATTGCAGAAAAAAAGAAAGAGGGTGACTAAAGCAGCTACATCAAATGTTTGTACATCAAGAGCAACAATAGCAAGTCAGCCTATTGAGGTACTTGTGATAGTAAGATGGATGGTGGATGTAAGATTTGCATTGTGCCTAGTTCAATTTTTTTTTTCTAACGTATGAGATTTTAGTTTGTAACTGATTCTGTTTGTGTTTTTTTGGTTTATGGATACATAGGGTATGAGCAGACGGATATGGGAGAAAGAAACAGCAATACGCCATTTCCAACCAATGAGGGTGGATGCACAAGTGAAATAAATCTAATACCCCCACCAGTAACACAAGAAAGCAACATTAGTTTGAGCTGATTGTTGAAGCAGCTTTGATGTTTTCTGTTCAGCTCATAGTTTAGTTCAAGAACTATATTTTGTCTTTATTTTTGAGCTTTGCTTAACCTATATTTTTAGTTTGTAATAAGAGCAGGTTTATATGGGAATTTATACTGTCGGTGCCCATTTTTTTGTGATTCGAAAGTACAACATAAAAAGTGCAACTTTGGTTCACTTTTGAATCATTATAGAATCATATTTTTGCAAATATTGTAAATAACTGAAGGTTGCAATGTTAAATGAAATGCTTAGTCCATAACAATTTATTTATGGTTGTCTTCTATTTTCATTCCATAATGCAAAAGTGTTTTATTGCATCTTCTAATTGATCCGACTTGCATAAAATTTACAGAACCAAAATGGTTCACAACACATCTCAGTCTTTAATTTTTCATTTAATAAACACTAAACGATTCATTGCACAGTGAAATATTCCCACCAAAACAAATCACATAGCATCCCACCTAACTACCCCATGTAAGCCATTTCAGTGCACCTTAGACCCCACCTTACACCCACACAAACAGCTAGAAAAGAACAAAATAAAGACCAAAACAACCACAATCACAGCCAAAAAAAGCTTTAATCTCTTATTTGCCGCTTCAACCCCTATTTTCTTTTTCTCAATTTTATCTATCTACCTTAGCCACCCAACTATCACCATTTTCGATCTCGGATGTACAACGAGATCTACCCATTCAATGAACCAGCAATAGCTCGGTGTCTGTAAAAAACAGAGAAAAAATCATTCATAACATAAAAATATCAACGTCATTATACCCATAATTCACGCATCCCAAAAAACGCCTGCCAGGATTAATCTCAGTCCATGAGGTTTTCACGATCGCTTCCTGCCCATATCTATATAAAGCCGAACGACCTCGGTGCATTTCTGAGCTTGAAATGATTGAGAAAGCCATGAAAAAGGGTTGTGGATACTTTCTTGACTACTGATGAGATCTTCAGCGAGAGAGAGAGAGCGAGAGAGAGAGGTTTTACCCATTCTTGTTTGGGTCTTATTTGGGCAGGAGAGAGAAAATGGAATAACTTGGGAAGAGAGAGACTTTACTACATCTCTGACTTGGCAAGGCTGATAGAACATCTTTTTATATTTCCAATGCGCCATGTCAGCATTCCGTGGCAAACAGCGAGATTAATGGATGTATTTTAGTAGAGCACAAATTAAAGTTTGATATTTTTGTGTAACAAATTGGAATATCAATACACTAATGTAATAGGAAGTATAGTCTAGGTATGATGAGTGAAATTAAGTCGAAGAAATGAAGAAGATTAACAGAATTACTTCGATTCAAGAAAATAGTCAATGTATTTAAGAGTAGATAAATGAAGAAGAAACATTTTGGATTACTATCATCTCGTTTAAAGAGTGACAATTTGATTGATGGCTAAAACCTGTTGTCCTTTTCTTAAGCATCGTGCTCGTCTGACGGGGTTCAAATTGCCTGCCAATAGGTTGTAAGTAGTAACAAATTGAAGCTCGATGTTTTGAAATGGAACTGCCATTCGAACTGAATAATTAGAAATTAAAATTAATGGTTTATTTGATTTGGTTTAATTTAAAATTAAGAATGAAAAAAATGAATGGAATTAGCCAAAATAACTAGATGAAAGTAGGCGTGGCCACGGTTCCGGAACCGGCGATTCCGGATCCACAAAAACTAGAACCGGAACCGAACCAAAAATTTTCGGTTCCGGTTTTGGTTTGGAACCGAACAGTTCCGGTTCTAGTTTAGAACCAAACGGTTCCGGTTCCGGTTCCGGTTTCGGTACGGTGTCAAAACCGATGGTTCCGATCGGTTTTCCGGCAAATCGCATAATTTTAAATTTTAAATTTTGAAGACCGATTTTCAAATTTTAATAAATTTGTGAAAGTTATTTGTAAAAAGAATACACCTAAAAAATTAAAAAAATACTTCTTAATAGACTTGCACTTAATTATTTTTTTAAAAAATTCTTCACTGAAATTTATTTCTGTTTTAAAAAGTTTTTTAACATAATTTTAAAAAAAAGGGCTTGAACTTAATTTTTTTTTTTAAAAAAAAAAATTAAGTTGCTACTTATCTCGTTGGGGTTTTAGAGGAATCAAAACCACGTAGTTTCACTTACCTTATACCAATTTTAACCCATTTACTTAGTCACTATTTGCCACGGTTTGAATGTTCCGTTGGAGGACCCATGTATAAACCATATGAATTTCATTTTTTACAAAATTTTTTGTGCTCTTAGTTCGGCCTTACTCCAATCATCACGCAGTATTTGTGCTTCAATGAATCGGGTGTCATACGAATCGTGTTTCATCAAGTATGTTTCCTCCTGACTAAAGTTGATTCAACCGCAACAGTGGAGACCGGGAGTTGCTAAAACTTGTTTTTAGCAATAAAGAAGTATTGGAAAAGTATTGGCGTGACGACTCCATCAATCTAAATTGGAAAATTAATATCTTGTATAATCATCACCAACCAAAGAAGTGGCTTAGATAATTATTAAATCAGAAAAGAACTGGATCCCTGGTCTTTTTTGCTTTGAATAAAACTGATTCAGCAACACAAACCACTCCCTTTGATATTGGAAATTGTTGAATAATTAGATTGAGAAGAATTAGAAGTAGATGAAACTAGAAAATTAAAACAAATCAATTTATACATTGTTATAATATTTTGTTTAAACTTCATGGCAATACTACATTTATCATTAACATTAATCTACCATATCACAGATTTAATACTCTAATAATAGTCAAATAATTCACATAAAATATTAATTTTCTCTAGGGATCAATATAAATAGCAACAAAGGATAAAGGGGTAGTATATTTTTCAATCAGATAACCTTTTTTTTCATTAAACAAAATACGCATCTTTTAATTCAATATTTTCTAAATTCTTGGAGTGGCACTCAAATAGGTAAAAATAAATGAGATGTGGGAAAATAAACCCTACTAAATTTATAGGTAGCATCATTAAAAATTTTTAAAATATCTAAAATTTTTGCACATATATCCCAATTTTGTGGATATAAATTAATATCTTCAATATTATTAGTAACAAAAAAGCATATAATTCTTTATAAGAAAAAGACTCGTTTAGTAATTCATATGTTGAATTCTAACGAGTTGGGACATCTCTTGGAAAACGTTTTAGTCTTTTATTATTTTCCTTACAAAATTTAGCTCAACTTTTCATCACTCCCCATAAATATGAAATAGCTTTTTTAATTTTTTAATTGGAGAAATAAAGATTCAAGACATATATTTAAACCATATACTACAATTTTAAAACATGGCATGCACATCTTATATGAAAAAATTATTCCACTAATATTTGGATTAAAATATTTTTAAACAAATATTTTTAAGTTCAATAATTGATTTAGTGTTAGCAGAAGCATTATCAAATGAAATTGAAAAAAATTTTTTTTGTCAACTTATATTGATCTACAATTGAAACAATTATTCTATAAATATTATTTGCATAATGTTTACCATCAAAAGTACAAAATGCAATAATTCTTTTTTGAATTTTCCAATTATCATTATTCCAATGACATGTAATGCCCATATAAGAATGCATTTGCCAATGATTACTTCAAATATCACAACAAATTGAAACACGAAATTTCATTTTAGAAAATAAAAGTTCTAACTCTTTTTTTCTTTTTTTATATAAAGAAATAATAGTTCGTTGTACAGTATTTCTTGGCACTCAGACGGATTTAAAGCTTTTTGGCAATATTTATTAAAACCTACTTTTTCAGCAAAACTAAAAGATAAATGTTTCATAGAAATCATTTTTGCTAATTCTTTTTTTTTTTTCAGAATATTTAAATAAAGAAATGTTAGAAGATGCGTACCCGAAAATTTATGTTTGAGACCGATCAAATCCTATTTTTGTTGGATATTTTGTTTCCAAATGCTTCCAAAATGATCCATAACCGTCCGATTGTTTAAATTTATAAGATTTTCCACAATAATTACAAATTATATCGAACATTTTGTTGCTTTTGAATTTCTTCGTGAAATGAATGACGAATATGTCGGAATTTTGTCTTGCTCTTCGAAGAAGTTGTGTACCTTGCTCTTGCTCTTCCTTTTCCTCATGTTGTAATTACTCATCATTCAATTCAGATTCTTGAGTGGGAATTTCCAAAATTTCATTTGGATATCCTTAAGAGTATATTGGTTGAGAGTGAAATCGAAGATGTCGTTTGTAGGGACAGATAAATATTGTGTTTCTTCAATCTTTCTCTTGCCCTTAGCAGATCTTGAGTTTCCTCCACTTGCCATTATAATATGATAATAAGATATAATTGGAAAATTGAATTAAAAAAAATTAGAGAGATAATAACTTAATAAGAGAGATTGTAGAGTCAGAGAGATACATATAGAGTTAGAGTGTAAGTAGAGTGGGTTAGTATAATTGTACGAAGAGAATAGAGATTCTTTTGTGTAAATGAAATGAGGTATTTATAATAAATCCAAAAAATTATTTTTTCCAAAAATACCCTTGAAACTAGCCATTATGTAGCCGTTTATGGTTGTTGGGAGGAGTATTTAAGAGATTTCACAACAAAGTTTAAAAAAAAAAAACAAAAACAAAAACTGACAGTTCTAACGACTAGAACCGCCGGTTCTAACCGGTCGGAGAACCGGCGGTTCCATCCGGTTCTGACAAGTTTGTTGGAACTGCCGGTTCCGGTTTCATCCAAACTGGAACCAGAACTGAATCGGAAATCTTCGGTTTTGGTTCCGGTTCGGACCGATTTCGGTTATGGTTTGGGATCTGTTCGAACCGATGGTTTCGGTTCCCGAAACCGTAATATGGCCACCCTTAGATGAAAGGGCAAAGGACCATATTTTTTTAGGAAAAAAAATCAAGTCTTTTCCATTTATTTTTGTGTAAACCACAGTACCTGGATCCTATTATTAGAGACCAACTAAATTCGACTCGTGGCTTAGTCACAGTTAAGGCTCTTTATCTTTCACTGCAGGTGTGTTTAGTGGGAGATGAGAACTATTCTTACGTTTCAAACTTGCGTTACCAACACGTCAAACTTGCGTTGTCAACTGAGCTACAATCCGTAAGTTTTTTTTTTTTCTATACAAAAGAAACATTAATTTATTTCAAGATAAATGACATATTTTTATGAGTTAAAAATATTTTTTCAATTTTGGTAAATTTCATTACTTTGCAATAACATTATAGAAATTTAAAAATATTATATTATATTCTCATCAAATATTTTCTTTGTAC